TGTTTATCGACTTGTTGTCAAGACATTTACGATTTAGGTCAGGTATCTGTCAGACAGAGATTGATATCGGTATTGACTTCGACTTCAACTCTGCTTACATCGTGATCGGTTAACTAAATTCAAGTCTGTTTATCGACTTGTCAAGACATTTACGATTTAGGTCAGGTATCTGTCAGACAGAGATTGATATCGGTATTGATTTCGACTTCAACTCTGCTTACATCGTGATCGGTTAACTAAATTCAAGTCTGTTTATCGACTTGTAGTCAAGAAATTAACTACCGATCACCAAAAGGGGAAGAAGGCTATCGACCTCGTTCTTAGGGCCTTTTCCCTTAGTTCGGGGTGGGACGGGTAAAGGCCCTGGGAACGAGGTCGGAGGGGTATGTAGAGTGAAATGCTATCTATGAAGGATTCTTAACTTGCAATTATGATTCTAGAACTTCATATTTCATATGTTGTTTCAGCCTTTAGACAAACCCTATTCCACTTTTGATTTATCTCATTTCGAATTATCATGCGCTCAAGTACCTTATGGTTTTTTCTGACATCACATGTAAATTTTTTTATTAGCTTAACTTAATACTTATTCAGACGTGGTTCTGACTTTTGAAATGATGATAAATAAATTTGATTAACTTCTTAAAGGGTTGTTCCTTACTTTACTGTAGAACGCACAGGATTAAAATAGGGTAAATAAAATAAGATAATGAATATAAGTTACGTAAGTACCGGAGTACCCTGTGTGGCCGGCTTACGGAGTTCAGTTGGGGGGCGAAGGGGGAGACCTGTTTCCTACTCAGATCTTCCACAGCCAAGCGGTAGGATCTAGGTACGAGTTAGGGGGGGCCTATGCGAGCGCAAAGGCCAGTCGTTACGGTGGAGATCTGAATGGAGACACAATTTTTACTCCCCACCTATGAAGCTTTGTTTGCTAACTAGGCAAGCTAGTTGGTAAAGAATCCAGCTTTATACCATGAAGCCAATCGTTCGCTTGGACCACAAATAAAAGGGATTAATACAACTCAGGTGTGAAAGACTTCTTGAAAGGCCATTCTTTCCCGCTTTCTGAAGGGACTCCCGTGTGTCAAAAGAGAACGTCAAAAAAACGGGAGGGAGAAGAAGAATAGAAGGGAAAAAGTTTTATTCGCTTAATAGGTCACATTCTGCGTGTTGGAGAGATCACCAGCCCTGGAAAAAAAAATGCAATTAAGGAATAAGTCGACTCCAAAATGCAATCGTGCGCCCCGAAAATGGAGTTCTTTTCTCAGTGCTGCAAGGTGTTTAATAAAAATGTCAAGTTTCCAGGCCTCACAACCCACCAGGCCCTGATAATGACAACTGGGAGTGTCTCTGGAAGGACGCAGAAGTTTCGATCCATCCCAAAAGTAGGAGGTTGTCCCTCAGGGAGGAGAAAACCTATTTTATTTTCTTTTTCTGTTGACTTACAAATAAGAAAGACCTAACTAAATTAATAATTCTCACAAAACATTTCTTGAAAATTTGTGCGTATACGCAATCTATGTTAATCAGTAAATTGACGTAGCTTCTCCACATCCGAACCTTTTTCCTCCTGGTATTATTTCTTCTGTCTGGTTTTTCTTTTTTTTTGTTTGTTTCGGAAAATAATTATTTTGACGGTTCTTCAATATGAATGTATTTTCTTTTTGTTTGCGTCGCGTGATAATATAACAACACAATGATGAGAAAGGAAGAGAAGAAAGCTAACATGGTTTCTTATTGTACAGTAGAATAGGTACCGCTAAACTGCAAATGTACAAGAGAACACACATAGAACTTGATGTCATTTTTATACTCATATATTTATATGAATGTATTTTCTTTTTGTTTGCGTCGCGTCATAATATAACAACACAATGATGAGAAAGGCATAGAAGAAAGCTAACATGGTTTCTTATTGTACAGTAGAATAGGTACCGCTAAACTCCAAATGTACAAGAGAACACACATAGAACTTGATGTCATTTTTATACTCATGGCTGCCCACGCAATAGATAGCTTGATATTTGAACCATCCTCTGGAGAATACCAGTTTGTTAACACCATCGTTAAGTGAATTGCAGCTACGAAATACACAAAATGGAAGAACGAGTAGCTATATGGAACCTTCTCGTCGGAAAATTCAAACACGTGTTGGGGAGACTTGTTTTCGTGCAGCGGAGCTTCATTGCCTCGCTCTCCGTCCGGAGACTGTTCCTCGCCGTCTTTGACCTTTCGCTGGCGAAGTCCGACGATGAGCCGAAGTGTAGTCGCAATCAGTTCTCGTAAGGTGACAGTTATTGGCGACACCCGAACGCTAAAATAAATGATAGTAATCACCAACAAGCACAAGTCTAATGAAGCTTGAATGTTAAGGTTGGGTCTCATGTCTGCTTCGGAAACGTACGTTGCAACAGGATTGCATCGCTCGTTAGGATTGTAAGATAGTGCTGACCAAGTCAGGTACACCGAATAAGCTGTCACTACAGAAGACTGTAGTAAGCCGCCATCTTGGACCTTGGGATGGATTGATATAACGGCTGCCACAGCGCAGAGAACCAGGTTAATACTCACAAACATCTTGTTTGTTTTGCATTTATGTGAAGCGCCAAAGAAAACATAGAAGCAGACAACAGCTGCAGCAGAGATTCCATACAGGACAACAGTGCATACAAACACCAAGTGAAACCAGCATCTTTTCCCTGTTTTTTCCATTTTCTGCGCCCAGGTTTTGTTCCAAACTCGCGTGAAATCCACAAGCAGAAACAGCTGAATAATGATAAACACGAACGTGCCTATAAGTCCAAAGTACATCCAAACTTTACTGAATTCCATGGGAATGAAAAAGGTGCAGAGGACAAGACCAAAGAAAAGGCCAAACTTGACAAGCCACAATCCATTATGAATCAAGGCTCGAGGGTCGCTGTAAAATTCGACTGAGTAAAGAATCATTGCGAATAGCAGGAAGAACGCCGCCATTGAAAAGCAAATCCTGTACACTGCTAAGTAGGCCGGATCCATGCTTAAACAATTTCCCATCTTTGTAAGTCTGTTACAGAAATAGGCGTTACTTTCGAGCGCACGTCTCACGACGGGAAGATACATCGCGCAGGACGCTACCGTTCCAGCCAATAGGAAGAAAGTATAGGCGTACCTCGTTGATTTTGATTGGTTCCACCAAGGACACGGTTTAATGAATACGATATAGAGCGCTTTACACGTGAATGTCCCAAGAGATTTCATAATGCCTTGTATGGAGTGAACATCACGGTCGGGAAAGATACATGGAGCAATAAGACTCCATATGTATAGAAATATAAAAACGAAACTTGAAAGTGTTTTTAGTGTGAGTGTAACCCAGTTTACCGCTTCCTCTCCATAATGCGTTTCTCTGGGATTGTACCAGTTTGTTATAATCATCATGACATGAACTGAAAATAATGAAAATACGAAATACAGAGACAAAGAACTGAAGCCTTCGTCGTCTCTAGTAGTCTCTATCCTTCCCCTTGAAACTATACCTCGTCCCAATTTCCTGTAATAGGCCTGTGGTGCCCGCAGACAAGCAAACGCTAGTAAGCAGAAGATTATCAACACATCAGCCACCGAATACAAATTCAAATCAGGCTCGTTTCCAGTCTTAATCGCGTAGTCTCGTTCAGCGTCGCATTCACTTTGTCCATACCTGAGCGAGGCATAGGTCGAATACGTCGTGTACATGGTCACGAAACTTGTCTGCAGCAATTGCTCTGAATAGGAATTCAAGAACATTGAAAGAATTATGGCTATCCCACACAATACAACGGTTCCTATAAGGAGAAGTAAATTTGTTCTACAGCTGTCGTTTTTGGTGTACAATAAGAACAAGAGAATTACCACAATTGATGATGACAGATACATTGCACTGGCAGATAAAAGTCTTAGAAAGATCCAGAACTTGACTGACGTATTGTCCTCCATCTTTTCCGTAAGAAATTCATTCCAGCCTTTGGCGGCGTCCAGCATAAATACAAATTGTATGAGCGTGTAAAGAAATGATCCAGCCATTCCAAAATACATCCATGCTAATCCAAACCCGCCTTTAGGAATATTTAGTGCGCAAAATATGAGCAACGTAAGGAGGGCAAATTTAGGAATCCAGAATCCGGAATGGACTCTGATGCTGATGTTATGGTTTGTGGAATTGTAGTAGAAAATGACGCATAAAATCAGAAAAAAAGCCGAGGTTGCGAAGAAGATCCGATAAATTAGCGAATATGGCAACATAATTTGACAATTTGTCGATGAAGTGTTATTGCTGGGGGAGCAGAAGATTTTTTCAGCTAGGGTGGTTTTGACGGCAGGATGATATAATCCATAGCACGATACGATAATCAGTATAAAAACTATAAGGTAAAACAAATGAACGGCTGTAAAGTCCTCACTGTCCTTCGGGCCAGGTCCGACCACAGATAAAAGATGAAATGTTTTTGGCAAATAAGTTTCGCCCTTAGAGTTCATCTGTCCATCCTCCAGTTCCGAGCATGTGTTTATTTCTGCATGCCTTTCAGCACTGTCGTTGCTTTTGATACTCTGTTTGATAGGAGATTCTCCCTGTTCCCGTAATTGATCCATGCAAAACGTCTGTATTCGGCAGAAACGTGAGTCCTTTTGATCAGTTCGTGCGTTACAGTTGTATAACGCAAGCTTGTACTTGAGATCACTGATTAAGAACCCAAAGGCAGGCGCATTTGCCCACCGACGATCTGTTCTATCAAGCAAGCAATCTCATGCATTAGGAAACAAATTCAACCCAATTTTTATCTCACGTATGGAAGACAGAGGGACACAATCAGAGCACCAAAAATTGACTCTATATTTTCACACCCAGAGGGTAGATTTTGCTGGCGTCATATTCAAAAGAACACCATTTATATCCTCACCATTTAATATATTTACTTAAAATAACTGCCGATATGAGTGGAAATAAAACTGATCTGTTTTATTTTGACTGGTGGCTGTTTTATGGCCACCTGTTGGTAAGAGGTAAAATAAGTGATGAGAATTCCCCGTTTATCTGGGATTTAACGAAAGTATGATCCGACTAATTACCAGGCCTCCTCTCCAATTCAAGAAAAAAAATTGGTCGAGCATTGCATCTAAAAACTTTAATTTTGGCTGTTCTTTCCACTGTTATATAGAAAGAACCTCTGTTTCAAAAGCCCTTTGTTGGGAGATTTTTACATTGACTTCTGTACCAGTTTGTAGAATTAGGCCGGAGCAGTGCTACCATGATATTCCACCAATCCGTGGAACACTGATAGGATAAGATTTAAAACAGGTTTCTACTCATACTTGCATGCCACACTCAACCGTTACTGAAACCTTTTTCAAGGCTTCTGACCCACAAATCCAACTTTTACGAGAAACTGAATGGCAAGACTTAAGACACCGAAGACCATAGACCACTTTCATAAATGGCTGCCGGATTAATATTGTTTTGTTTAAATTCAAATTAGCCCTTCTGGCCTCGTTCTCCAGTACAAAATTCAAAAGAATACATAATCTCAAGCGAGGCCAATCGGGCAAATTTAAGTTTAAACAAAAGAATATTAATCTGGCAGCCATTTGTGAAAGTGGTCAATGTCCTGTTGTGTGTCAATATTTACACGTCTGTACCCATCCCCCCTTTCTCCCCGTCGGTCTCACTCTTATCAATTCTTCTCGTTTGACCCACTACTAAATCCACATCAATTAACTAAAGCCTCAATAAAACAAAGAAACAGGCGAAAAACAAACAAACAAGAACAAACGTGCTATACGAATTATTCGGAGAAAGTATTGAATAGCAGTCAAATATGCTAAATCTGCATAGTAGTTCTTAATGAGACACACAGATTAAAAAAAAAAAAATCGGAAATCACGACAAGGCAATCTTACTTAAAAGACATTTTAAACAACTGTTTGAAAAAAAAAAATTCCATATCCCAAAACAGAATTTTATCAAAACCCCGGCACTCTAGTTTTTCTCTAAATCAAAACTAAATTACTGATATCCAGAAGCAACTATCAAGCCAAGTTGACCTCTCCCTCGACGAATCAATCATCATTTCGTTTCATTTAAGTTTGTAGAGTTTTGAGAGCGGTCATGGTTTGCGACAGCTGATTCATCCGTATAATCTTTGAGCCAATCCCCACCAGCCACATTTTGTAGCGCGGCGAACTCCAAAAGCGCATGCGCAATAAATGCCGCGAACCTCGAAAATTACATTTAATTTCATCGACAACATGTAAATTAGTGTTTGCCAACTAGAATTCTCCAAGGATGAATAGGTATTTTCTATTGAGTTTTTGGTTTTTGGTGTACTTTGTGTCGCCTGGATGGCTTGATTCATCGACAGAGAGATGTTTCTGTGAGGTGAGAACTGTTAGTGGCCGTCAGATACAGGTCAATGTTTGTGTTGCTGTAATTGCTGAAGCGCGCCACCGGCTATCAGAAGCAAGACAGCTGGTTCGCTTGGCTGATTCGTAAATTTTAACTGTACAGCAGAATTTAATACCATATTTAGGCATTTACGTGATCGTATTCAGAGAGAATATTTGTTACGAAGCAAAAATTTGAACCTGTTTTCGGCGAAAAATTGTAGCAATTGTGTTCGTGTAGAAAGTCATGTTTTGGGATTATATTAGATACAGTATGGTGTCACTCTGAAATCACGCGCCATAGCGACGTTCGACTTGTAAACACTTAAAGGTTAAGAGTGGAAAATTATTAAGAGCTGCTATCGAGCATGTAACTGTGTATCTCGAGCTTTTATCGATCGGAAAGTAGTCCAAACCGACGACAGGAAATTTACATGTACATATTCTCAAGGTTCTGTAACCTTCACTCGCAAATATTTTTTTTTCGTCCAAGGGCGGAAAATTTCTCTAACTCCTGCTGTTATTTTGAATCTTTGAAACTTGCATTAAAAAAAGTCAAGACTGTTTTCTTCCTTTTGTTAAGTTTCCTCGTGGCAGATTGCAATTGGTTCAATACTGAATGAACAATTTTAACTTGGTGTTGACTGAAAGCCGGACGTGAAGATTTAGCAGATGTTTTCCTTGACCGTGGTGAATATTCCATTCGCGAACTCTTCAAGACAAACTTTTGCTGAATACATGAACAAATAAAGTATTCCGAAAAGACTTTTCTTGCAAAACTGACCGCAGTTAGATATTTCACAAACTCTTGTCAAATAATATCGACTTGTTCTCACCTCGAGTGGTCTAATGATAATGATGCACACTGCAATCTCCTTGCAAAAAAGTGAGAGAGTCAGCCTTTCGACAAGGTGACATTTTAATTAAAAATTGACAATTCCTTATCAACTCAACAAAAAATAATAAATCGGGTTCTGTTGATTACTTAGTTGCGAATGTATGGGTATATAATTTATTCACATCGCTGTTACAATTGTTGTATTGTCAAACCAAACGTTTGTCAAATTCCTCCATTTCTTTTAAGACCCCTGTGTTTTAGTATTATTTTTTAGATTGAAGTACTAAGTCATTCTTCGGGAGCCTTTTTGTCTGTGTTAACTAGTTTAATTTATTTTACGGATTGCAGTTTTAACCTGAACAAAAATATGTTCATCAAATCCTTGTCAGCTTAAAGAGACCTCAAATGCATGAACATGTTAAGGTGGCTGGTACCAGTTTTCATCTTTTTGATGGTTTGTAACTTTGAAAGAATACAACAAAAGACTGATCAAGGCCAGTTGAACACTTTAACAGGGTTGGATTATATAATCATTGGTTATTCAAACATAGGTGTCATTTCATCACTAGCAGTTTCCATGGCAATGCTATCATATGCTTATTCAGATGCATTTTTAGCTTGTGGCTTAAATAATTCAAAAACTAACCCAGTGACCCTGTGTTTTTTTTCAGTGATTGCATTTGGCACTTGAAAAGGAAAATGTGCAAAAATTTTAAAAAAATTCTACGGAGTGGAATTTCAGAAAATCTAGAAAAAGGCAATTTTCACACCTCACAAATTTCCTTCCATAGAATTTCCTTTTTTTTTTCCTGATGATTCCTTTCGACGTTATTATCATATTGGAACAATAAAAAGAAGGGGTCACCGGACTTGTTTTCATGCAATAGCTTTCGTGAGTTTAGCAATTTCCATGCATGTTCTCGCACATTAAAAAATCTGAATTCTAAAAGATCAACATTTGCTTATGATCTGTTCTAGCTACCACTGACAATTGCGTGTACTCGCGCAAGTGCCTACGGTCTGATGTTTACATACGCATTTAGAAGTAAATTCACCTTTACTGCAAAGAAAATCATTAAACAGCTGTCAAAGACAGCCTCGCGGGTACATCTTAAAAATCCTACACATGACTTCTGGCTACATCATATTATTTTCCTTGAAGTTTCAAAGTCTTCTTTCACTTCAGGTAGATTATCGTTCACTTGAGTTCTTCTTTTTTTGCCGCCGCAAGATTTCAAATTGGTTGAATATTTGTTTTAGATATGAAGTGGAGCAACCTTTACTTCTCCGAAAATCATCTTCTTTATCTTAGTTTCTATCCCCTGCATTCATAGTGGCTGCTCAACACATCAAATACACACTCTTAGGTAAACTCACAAAAGTAGAAAAAAAATCCATGCGCCACCATCTTTGTTTTGAATTTCGTCTTTTGATCTCGCGCTTCTTTCGCATGTTTCTCTTGCGCATCACGCAAGAGTGACCTGTTCCCCGTGTGAGGAAACTGGTACCAGCCACCTTAAATATTTCTTTAAATAGCCAATATTAAGTAAATCATTCCAAGCCTAACTTTATATTTCTAGACATGATGCACCATTGATCAACCATAACTTCATGTATGTTGTATCAAATTTCAAGCACTATTTTCTTCTAATGATTTGAATCCTATATACCAAGAAGAGTACCTTGCATCGGTTGACAATGAAATTTGCAACTGAAGATTTTGGAGCAGAACTCTCTGAACATGTAGATATCTATTTTGATTTAAAAAATGTTAAATAACTCTCTCATGTTTGCACAATATATATCTACATATATAAAAAAGCTGTAAACTTCTGTGGTGAATGAAGATACTAAAACCGATGAAAAATGAGTCTTTTACTTTGCTTTTGCACTACATGTTTCACCGCTGTTGCGGCTCTTCAGGCATAGCAAAGTGTGTTTATTGACTTATTTTAATTATATGTCTATGTATGTATAGATTATAATATAATTGATTAAAAGAGTGAATGTGCAGCTATCATTTCTTCAACCTGTTTATGGCTACTCCTCAAGCAGGAAAATTGCATGTGTGTAGAATAGGGGTGTGTAATGCATGCAGTTATAAGGTATTTCTCAGTGTTCTCCCCTTCAGGCAATAAATGGCAAAATAAATCACTTGCCATACCTCTTATTATTACATGACTCGGGCAGTCAGAGGGCCAATAACTAAAATCAATCAATCGAAATGCTCAATTGCCAGTCAGTATTCTCTCAGTATTGGACCGGGCACTGTCCCGAATGGTCCCGAATGATAGCGCACTTGTGTCCCTTTGAACTTCAGTCGTATAATAAATCTCTTATTAACCAAGCTTGCTTGGGACCGTACTGGAAGAATATCGGCCCTCGGTCTTTTTTGTACGGACTGAGCTGCACTCGGTCCGTANAAAACTTCTTTGTTTCTGCAATAATCTGTGTGTTGGCTAAACTTCAAGCCAGTTAAATTTGACCTGGTTTTGATGGCATAAAACTTGGTTCCTTTATTTTCTAGATCAAAAAAGTAATTCTCTGCATTGCCTAAGATGCACTTCTTGTAATTTTCATACTGAGAATTTGATGTTAAATCAAACAATATCCTTTGGTTGATATTTGATAAGAATAAATATATCTTATTAACCAAGTGTGAGGGCCGTACTGGGAAAATATCGGCCCGAGGTCTTGACAGTACGGACTGAGCTGCACTCGGTCCGTACAAAAAGACCAAGGGCCAATATTCTTCCAGTATGGTCCCAAGCAAGCTTGGTTAATAAGAGATTTATTATACGATTGAAGTTCAAAGGGACTGAGCTGCACTCGGTCCGTACTGTCAAGACCTCGGGCCGATATTCTCCTAGTAGGGCCCTTGCGCTTGGTTAATAAGATATATTATACTGGTCCACCCAAATCACTTGGAATTCTTGAATACGCATCAAGGAAAAGGATTGCTCTACCAATTTGAAAATTCTCTTTACCTGCAGACCACTGCTTAAAATAAGGGAGAATGCTGACTACTACATAAGAAAACTGATTGTTGTTGGGAAGTGTACGAAATCTGATGTCACAGACTGTGCTTGAAACCACACGATATTCTCAAGTTGTTGTTTTATAGAGAGCACACTTATGGAACTGAAAATTATGTTGTCTTCTAATTTAAGCCTTTTTTATGCTTAGTTATCAGGGAAACCAGAAGAATGTTGTTGTGATGTGGAGACCGTAGATAAGTTAAACAGGGAGATTCATCCAGTCATAAGTGAACTGGTCACAAATAATTTCTTCAAGTTTTTCAGGGTATGTACATGTAACATTGCAAAATTAATATCATGGCTGCACTAGGACTTGAAAGAATTATACAACAGATAATCAGCTAGAAGTTTATTTTAGTAATTGCAGTTCTTAAATAATGCATTCTCATGACTGGGAAGTTCATAAGGTATAAAATCTGCACTCAAGCTTAGTGGCCCATCCAGCTGGAGCCTATGCTGGTTTCTAATAGAATGGAATGGCTGGGAGTAAATATCCTACTCCCCCCTGGATGCTAGTCCATCGCGAGGGTACCCCCCTTTTTGCATTTTATCAGGCTTCCCTGACAATTTTCTACTCTACCCATTCATCGACTCCAAGTCAAGCACACTGACTGTAAGGCGAACTACCACATCGCCAGTAGGACAATAACAAAGGAAATGAGAATTCATGCTTTGCTCTGACAAAGGGTTGAATGGGATTAAATTCTTGTCTTGTGACTTTTCATTCTCAGCAGTAGTTATATCTTACTGAAATTAAAACTGAATGAGACAAATTAGATTCTCCAACAATTTTTTTTATAATTAATCGTAATTTGTATATGTATGGCACTGTTTTAAAAAAGTCCTTACCAACTTAAAATAGGTGCGATAGAATTGGTTGTCATGTCATTTTGAATTCTTAACAATCATTTTTCTATGGCAATAAATAATGAATTAGAGAATTAAATTTATTTCTAACATTTCCTTGATTAAAATTTTTGTTGCAAGCACTGTACATGTCAATAACAGTAACATGTTGCAAAATCTGTCAAACATCGGCTCACAATAATTTAGTCATGTGATAATTACCTACTGCTGCTTTAAATGAAACAAAACATATTGTTTGAACTTTCAAAGGAAATTGGAGTACATACTAATTTAACTGTTCATTTATTTTTGTTAAAGGTTAATCTCAACAGACCGTGCCCATTTTGGCCAGATGATGGAGCTTGTGCACTTAGAGACTGCTCTGTATCAGCTTGTAAAGAGGTAAAAAGTGATTGATGCATTGTGTCTCTCTTTGGGAAAACAGGCACCAAATGCTTTTCTGTTTAAACTGCAAAACTGTGTATTATGTGGTTCGTGCAAGCGTTTGAGCAGTTTGCTTATTCGTTAAAAAAAATTTGCATCCGTTTAATGCTTTATCTTAAACATTTAAAACCGTTTGCTTATTCATTTAAAGAAACCTATCCATTTAATGTTCCAGGGAAAAACTTTGAATGCTTTGGCAGTGACTCTATTATCAATTGTGGGTTTGATATCACTTGTAAGAACATGATTACAAGTAACCATGTAGATACTGTAGAACTTTGCAAGTTTAAAACTGAATTACGGAAACACATTTAGAATTATATATGAGGATGGGGAGTATAAGATAATTGTCAAAATTAATGCAGGACACAAATAGATTTTTGCTTTGTCTTGGATGACAACAAAATGAGATCTAAGAATTTATTGCTGTTTTCTACATAAATTTTATTCTTTTGACTGCATGCCTTATTGTTTTGCGACTCTGTTTAATTTTTGCCAGGAGGAACTTCCTGAAGGCATCAAAGCTGAGGTATATGTTTTGATTTTAGCGTTGGAGCCACTGCATTATTTTGTATAATGATTTTGGCTGAATACAAAAATTAATGTCTATGCATTAGACAAGCGTTCAATATCCTTCTTCATCTGATCAGTGCAAGCTCTAAAAAAATACCATCTAGATATTGAATAATTCTTAGCCATGCCAGTCTCACAAAGAAACAGAGCCTTGGCTGGTACATGGAACTAGAAACTAACTATTTTTATTAGTAAGTGGTAATTGATTAAGGCTAGGACGTAAAAGTAAAAAGTTTGTATACGAGCTTAGTGGCCCATTAGGCGCATGCTTAACTCCGGTTTCTGTAGCATGAAGCGACTAGGAGTATTTCTACTCCCCCCTGGATGGGATGCTAGTCCATTGCAGGGTTACCCCCAGCATTTATACACCTGGGTGAAGAGAAGCACTGTGAGAGTAAAGTGTCTTGCCTAAGAACACAACACAATGTCCTGGCCTGGGCTCAAACCCGTACCACTAGATCCGGAGTCGAGCGCACTAACCATGAGGCCACCGAAAGCTAGGGCATACTCTGCCATTATTAGGGTTACAAATTATTAGCCTGGCTTCCTGTTTCTTTTGTTAGCTTATAAATAAGTCTAACTTTCTACTGGCATTAATCACTTGAAATCTAACAGGGGAGACGTCCAGGTAATGGGAGTTTAAACCGTAAGGGAAGCACACATAAAACACAATCAAACAGTGAGGTAATTTGAATGTTTTCTAAACTTTACATTTACTTACAATTTTTTTCCTCTTCAGTAAGCTATAAAATGCTTGTTGTTTTTTTTCACCTGTCTTCATTTATTTTTTGTTATTTGGTTTAAATTTCATTGTTTTTTAGAAAATAATAGCTTTAAGAAAATTTTTATGACCAATAAGTAAAACTGAATATGTGCAATTTTAGAGCCAATATGTTAACTGTTTGGTTCTTGTTTATTTGCAAACTAAGCACAAAACTGATTCCATTCAGTTTGTATTTTTTTAAGCATATAATATCAGAATCTTTACATTGCCTCAAATTTTAACAGGGTAAGAAAGGTGAAGCCTGACAGTCTTCAGAAAATGAGACCGTCCTGGGTGAAATTGACAGCACTATCAGGTAAACCATTCATACTTGTACATGTAACACAAATATACGTTTCCATCATTGATAATTCTCAACTTGTTCAGTAACATGCACTAATACTGACTGAGTGGAGTGGCTGGACAGGACAATGTTTGGCTGGAGGTAACGACATTGAGATCTCTCCGTTAGCTCATCCATACCTCATGATCAAGAGCCAAATACTTTTGTGTTGGGCCCAACCTATATGTACTTGAAGCTCATTCAATGAGCATTGTTTTCATGGGAACCCTGCTCTTTCTTTCTCTTCCCTTCTTCTTTAAGCTAGTTTCTGGAAGGGTTGTATCACTTTTCATAGACTACAAGCAGTCACTCCTTTTCTGCAAAGTCTGTCACACAAATGAAAAAGAATTAAAAAGAAAAAAAGAAAACAGTGTTGTTGCACCTGGCAGAGCTCTGGGATTGAGGGGCACAAAGAGTGCAGTCCCTAAAGCACACTTTTTTTTTATGGAAAGTCTAATATTAAATTCTTTGTGGTGGCTTATTCAGTGATGAAGATAAACAGGCATTTGAAGCATGGCAAGCTCACGATGATGCTGAAGATAACTTCTGTGAGTTGGATGGTGAGTTAAGTTTTAATCTAGATTCACAACTTTTTCTCCCTCAAGTTCTGGATATCGGTTCTCCACTCTGTCTGCCTTCAAGTCCCTATAATGTTAGCTCCCTGAATTTGATGTTAAATCAAATGGTATTTTTTTCTCTTCTTATCATCGTTTTTCTTGAAAATTGAGTGATGTTGTGAGTTCCTAATGTTGGTCACTTCTGGGGTGAAAGGTCAAATTTGTGAGCTAGTGATCAGAAGCCTCTCTGTTAATTTTTTTATGGGAGGGGAGGGGAGGGGTTGATGGGTAGGCTTTTGTCATCCTAATAGATTCTTTCTGGTATATATTTATTAAAAGTTGTGTTTCAAGTGAAAGACACAAGATTGCCCTTACACTTTGCTTTTCTCAGGGTCAACTTGGTATAACAGAGGCAGGTTTGCTATCCCCCTTAAAATCATTGGATTCTGTTAGCTGTTCCCTTGTTTAGATAAAGTATCAATTTTTTTTTTTTTTTTGGTATAACTTGACTTGATACTCAATTGCTCCCTTTGTTTCAAAATTGCCACGAAATTGATTATTACCATTTTGAAAATACGGATTTAATCATGCTTTGAAATCTCAATGTATTCACTGTAATTGTGTTGTAGATGAGTCATCATCAGGGATGGAGTATGTTGATCTGCTCAGGAACCCTGAGAGATTTACAGGTTATGCAGGATTCTCTGCTCAAAGAGTTTGGAATAATATTTACAAAGAGAATTGTTTCAAGTAAGTGGAATTTACATCTGTTTTCATCTTGAACCAAGGAGGTATTGTCTTAGTCTCAAATCTGTTACAGAACCATTGAGATTTCATTGAACAAAAGCATATTTTCTTGTTAAAAGAAAGACAACACTTAGTTACTGTCTGACATAAACTTTCTAAAAACTTGTCAGGGATTATTTAATTTTCTCAAACACTGGAGTTCAACTGTGTATGAAAAAAATGATATTAAAAATTCCAACACATTGAATTTTTTCAACCCTTTCAAACGTAACATCTCATTCTTAATTCCCGTTATTGTCTGTCATGCCAGTTCGTATGATATCAGTTCGGATAGTTTGGTATAAATGTACCTTATGATCCCCTGCTTAAAGAGGCATTCTGTCTTGGTGAGTAATGATGCAAGATAAAAGATTAAAAACATTAACGATGCTTGTAAGTGAAACGCGTGCATACTGACTCTTCATAATTCTTATTTCAGACCCACGTCTCCGTATGGGAAGAGTTATGGAGTTGTAACATCCAAAAATGTTGATAGTAAGTGATAATTTAAAGGGTTCTTTTTATTCAGTTAACTCCTGTTTTTACAAACTGAGAATGGAGCAGTGACTGTGTTCCATTTGCTTAAAGGCATTGTAAAAAACAAACAAACAAACAAAAAAAAACTAGAGTAATCCGGAGTAGTAGTATAACGTTAAGAGCGCTTACAATCGAGAGTCGCAAAACCAACACCGAAGTAAAAGCAATGGCCGATCTGAAGAAAACTGAGAAAATACCGTCAAGTGCCTATGAGAACTCAAAGTAAAAACAACCTAGCTGCCTAAAGCGCGGGAAAACGCGGGTGACTAAGTCGTGATTAGTTTTAGTTTTGCATCGGATTGGTTGAGAGAGTGGCGCGAGTTTTCCGAACCGATCACAGAGAGGTAAAGGAAACCAATGCAATCTCGGATTAATTACGGCAGTCAAATGAGAGTGGTACTATCGGAGTAAGAATCCACCCTAAACATAGGAGGGGAAAAATCTGTATTGTGGGTGCAGACACACTTTATTTTGTAGATAATAAAGAGGTGTTGGATACAGGTACATCGCCACTCACCCACGTTTTTATCTTTTTTTTTTTAACTGAGGCTATTTTGGGCATTATCTGAGACAAAAATTACTACGGCGCATATATCGATCTCTAAAAATTACGTGTTTGTGTTACTGATAGAAATGTGTCTGGAAAAGCGAGTGTTCTATCGGATGATGTCAGGCCTCCATGCCAGCATCAATATTCACTTGTCTGCAATTTACCTATTTAAAGGTAAGAATTAACTGCATGTCTAACCGTAGCCTCTTTGTAGCATCAAACGAGCGTCACGATTTTTTGGCGTTGCATGAATGTCATGGACTTTTAGACTTCCTAAACATACGTTTAGCATATAAGGCGATGATAAATTCTCGATACTACCGTATGTATATGTATTGTTTCATAGTCACCTGATACTTTATTGTTTTACAATCATGCAATTTCGACACCGTGCAATCTTTGAAACTCAAACCTCTGTTACCATTTACGATTTTTTGTTAGGTAGTGGTTTCCTGAAACCAAGGTGGGGTGAGAATCTGGAAGAGTTCAGAAGAAGATTTGACCCTGAAACTACAGGCGGTGAAGGTAAATTTTAAAGAAGCTAACTGTTTGAATCATGTCGCTTTTGTTTTAGTGATTTCTAAATTTTGTTTTCAATCTTGGTGATTGTTTTCATCCAAACTAATGTTATATTAAAGGTTTCAACATTGTTTTTTTCTTTCCATGTTTGTTCTGTGGATGATGGCAGGTCCAACATGGCTGAAGAACTTATACTTTGCATACACCGTGGCTCTGAGAGCTATAATTAAAGCAGCTCCATTCTGGGAACAAGAACAGTTTTACACTGGGGATTACGGAGATGACATTGAAGTGCAAGAACTTGTTCAAGTTCTTTTGGCTAAATCCAAGTAAGACTGGCTACGTAGGAACAGGAAAAGTCCATTGAGAAGATACTTGTACAAGTTTATGTAGATGCGCATGTCCGGTTGAGCCCGGTACTTGTGCATGCGCATGCACATGTATCTGTACACGTGCTTATAAGCATACGAAGGGGGGGGGGGGAGAGGTCAACAGTACCCTAGCACCCCTAGCTACGCCCTTGACGTACTAGCGTAAAGAGCGAAGTTATAGTTTATTACTTCTCTCCTCTAAGTCATATATGTTGAAAGAATATATATTGGTCCCCACGTGCTCGCTGTAAAACTCGGAAATTTTAAGTCTTTTGTGAGAACAAGCTTCCTTTTTCTGGGGGAAAACGAAATCATCGCCAGAGAGGAAATGTGTCTCTTTCTCGAGATACCAGACCCATTTCCTGTGAAACAAGACACTGATTTTTGCAATGTAGGATCGAAATTCCTTCTGAGCAAACCATATCCCAAGTGAAAGACTAACATAATTTGCATAGCTTTCATGGATAACGCATGCGATTAAGAATTCACCCTTTACACCTAAACATCAGTATGCATATTCACCATACTCTTCTATACACCTTAACATCAGTATGCATATTCACCATACTCTACTAAACACCTAAACACCAGTATGCATATTCACCATACTCTTCTATACACATTTCTTGAGGTGCTGACTAGGAGAATTTGTTCAACAATCAAGAGCTTGTTTAGGTGGTGATCATTTTATTATTCTCGTGACCTTAATGTGGGGTTCAGGGGAGTTAGTTGAAGGAGACATTATATGCTAGTCTCTCTCAGGGATTTTAGACAGTAGTTCCTTGACCTAAAAGAAATAAAAGAAGGGAACAGTAGGAGGCAGATGTTTATTGGATACCCAAAGATTTGTCAGATTTTTTATGGGAATGACCAAAGTTATCGTTAGGAATAAAACAGCTTATAACCTGTGTAACGGTATTTTCCGTTTTCTTTCACCCAAGTCTTTGCGCGATAACTATTTGACTCGAGCTTCTTCAACTTGGCTAAATTCTTTTCTGATACAAGCTTGAGGTACTACAGAATGGGTAAGAACTGGACATCGTATTCCTGTTGTGGTCTTTTTCTTCAGCTACGACATTCACAATCCCTTCTATCTTGTTGCAACTCATAGAACCTGTCCAAGCACGTTTGATGAAAAGCTCATGTTCAGGAACCCAGCCAGTGCAAATATTCTAAAGGTAAGGTATTCTCCACAACTTAGGCTCCTTTGCTCACTGAAGGGAAGAGCAGCGACTCAGAAAAGTTTGCGTATATATTTCGTAAGTCGCCACTCGTGCTTCCCTTTGATAGAAATAAACAAAAGACCTAATTTGTAATGTGAGCTCATTGTACATGGCGTGAAGCCAAGGAGGGCTGATGCTGTTACGTTCTGGAAATCAAGAATGCTTACAAATATTTTTACGACCAATCATCCTTCGAGTGCCGCAACATGATCTTTAAGTGGGCTGCTAAGTAATTAGGTGAATTAAGTCCATTTTCGTAAGTTCCTCATAATTATTTAAGCAGTGAGATCTGTGTCGATTAAATGTTATTGAAAGTTGCCATTCTTTTCGTTTGTTTATTTCATGGTAGGAAGAGTTCAAGCTTCACTTTAGAAATGTCTCTCGTATCATGGACTGTGTTGGTTGTGACAAGTGCCGGTTGTGGGGCAAGCTTCAGGTTTGTTGTCATTCATTTTTTCTACGTCTTCTTTAAGACCCCGAACTGAAGCAATTCGCGTTTTTGAAGTTTAGTGTGAGAGCTGGAAGTAGACCACACGGGCAACAACATATCTTCATCGCAAGTTCTTTTCCGATTTTTATTGTCCAATCACATTTCAGCATGAACGCACATGCGTAGTCCTTGTTTGGGGTATTAGTGACGTGTAAATAAAGCGTTCGGAAAGTCTTTAACTTCATACAAAAGCTGGCGACAACTTTGAGATGACACAATTCTCTAGAAAAATGAAACGAAAACAGCTCGGAAAACGAATGTCCACGTCAATCTCAAAGTCAAGTTCTGGGCTTTAAACACCATTGGCTAATTTAACTTTTCGTGCTTCCCACGTGAGCACAAAAGAGCACATCGGTCAAACGTCTGCGCAGTGCAAATGTTGTAATGAGTAGTGGCGCGTTTTCGGAGTGTCGAAACCAAGTTGTTTTACACAAGTCACAAACAACTACACAATCTAATAGGTCATGGTGTTTCAGAAGAGTATATTTTTTTTGTTTATGCTCGAAACAAAATGGTAGATCAACAGAATACCTGTAATTGTATTAGCTTTGTGTACGAAAGTTTCGAGTTTTCCTTTTCCCTACTTTTGTTCCCTTTTACAGATCTATATGAACGTTTCAATTTTCTGTGGCACATTTTGCGAGACAGCGGTTGTTTGTAATGTTTTCCTTAGAAATTTTGCGCGGGAAATTGGAGCGCGGGCGGCTAAAATTGATTCCCCCGCACATGGCCGACGTTTGACTTCTGTGTTGCACAAAAGAAACATACAGAGGGAAGGAGAGCAGGTGATAGTTTGAAATTTCTCAAGAAGCTGAAGAAAATTTTAACAGGAAAGTTGCTTTGTGATGAAATTAGAGGGTAACCTACAACGCTGGCAAACGTTTGCATTTCTTGTCTTTTCTTAACTTTATTCAAACAGAGAGTTTTGATTAAACGTGGTCTTTTCTTTTGGTCTGCCGTAGGTTCAAGGCCTGGGAACCGCCTTGAAAATCCTGTTCTCTGGTCACGAGTTTGACGACGGAAAGTTTGACAAGAACAGTCATTTTCACCTGAAGAGAACAGAAATCGTCAGTTTATTTAACGCCTTTGGAAGGTATGATAAAGATTTACGTATTTCCGAGATTGTTATCTTTGACATGTTTAAATCTCCGACTTCAGTCATTGTCAAAGAAAGGAGAGCCAAAAAAGGTGGGCGTTTGGAGATTGAGATCCGGCTAAATTGTTTACTCTTTCCACTATTTTCTGTCCATCAAAAAGTGGCTTATCAAAAGTGCTTGCGGTAATGTTTTTAATCCTCTTTACTTTTAACAGGTTATCCAGTAGTATTAACTATTTACAGAAATTTAAATCAATGGAACACGGGTAAGACCGATTTTTAGACCGATTCTAAAACCGATTCTTTTATACTTCCACATCCAATTGTTTTGTCTCCTCTTTGTCTTGTGCTTTTCAAGCACTCTTGCAATCACACGTTTTTATGTTTCGAATGCAATCAATTTAATCACGATGGCTAGAGAGAGTTTTTAAGGAGTCAGTATAAATCAATCAAAGCGCAAGAAAACGTTGGTAAGCACGTCGCGATTGGTATTGGTTTTGTTTGCGGTTCAGTGGGAAAGATACCAGGCCGCTTGAGCAACGCGAGCTCCTGGCACTGATAATCGTTAGTGCCAGATCCCCCGGCCAACTACTCCCCGACTTGTCTCAAGTCTTCCCGTGAGCGGAGAAACGCGCGTCTTGCATTGCTAATAATGAAGGTCTGCTCTTACCCAGACTCTTATCAGTATTTCATCGTTCATATTTCTTTTAATTTTAATTAGAGTTTCATTCATTTTTTTGTTTCATTTCGCACTGTGATTAGTCCTGAAAATTTGCAGCACCTCTCAACCAGAACGAGGCTTGACCAATCGCACTTCCCCAGCTTGAGACCGTTTGCAAATTTGGCTTCGAATTCTCATTGGCTATTTCTTACCTTTCGCCTTTTTCTGATTGGCTGTTGTAACCTGACTTGGGTTTGGGTTGTAGCGCTCCATTATTTTTATCTCATTTGTGTTATTTCCCTTGAACTGACAGGCACAGATAGCAGCGATTTGACGAGGGACTGGTAACTTGAGACATTCGCTTGTTCAGCACAGTTTCCTCTCGGCCAAAGAGACAGGAGCAAAAGTGCAACAGTTAAAAAAAAAAAAGCAAAAAAAGCGGAAAGTTTTAACCCACTTTAACAAATGCATACAAAACTTGGATTAAAAAGTCATTTTGCTGGCAGTCGTTGCTAGCCTACAATTTTTTTTTGTGGGAAAAAAAAAACCCTTTACTGTGAATATTTCGTTGTTGGCTTATATCAGGCTATAGGTTTGTAATTTAAAGAGAACTTCTATTGTTTGATTAATATAAGTACCATCGAAACTACAATTTTTTAAAGTTTTAAAGCGTTTTGAAGTTCTTGTCATCAGTCGCGTGACTGGTTCGTTGATCAAAGAAGAGCAACTTAAACTGAAAATTTATGAATTTGATATATGAATGTGCTGTGTTAGATTCCTTTTGTTTTCTAACAGTACCTTAGGAGAATTTCATTGCTGTACAGTTTATGCAGTTTATTGGTTAATTTTCAATGTAATGCCATCTGAAGGCTTTCTTGATGAAAGTGGCAACCACCTATAGTGATTTGTTAAGTAGACGTATTTTTGTAAATTTAGTCTGCAATTAATAAAACACTTACAAACACTTTATTAGAAATCGTTTGTGTTCATTCTCTTACAACCAAGCAAACGTTTTCCTGTGCTTTTCCCAATACTTTCTCCAATTATTTCCCGCCCCTAGCCCCTCAGGGAGCGGTCATTTCTTCTATTCTGTCGTCAAAGAAAACTGACCATCGGCAAAGCCTTCCATTAAGGAAAGAAGTAAGTTCATTTTCAATAATGTAAAGTTTGTTGTCCGAGCGAGGAATGGAGAAAGTGAAAGTAAAAATTTAAAGCGATTACCGCTCACAAGTTAGTATTGTCGATCAGCAGTCCTGTGTTTGAAGCAATGTTTTATGATGAGTTGGCGGAGACTATTGAACGGCCTGACTGGGATTACGAGAGTCTTAAAATTTAAGATCCCATTGATGGCAAGTTCCCCGCAGTTCAATGAGTAGAGCATTGTACCGCAAAAGCGGCCCCAGACAGGATGGAGATCCTGTTCCGGGGAATTGTCGTTAACTGTGGGATTTCTTTTTCAACCTTTTTTTTTCTTTGAACGGTTTGTTTCGTTTCCAATAATCCAAGCTTACGTCTACTTTTTTTTTAACTTTGGCGAATCTCCTAGTTGTCATCTTTTTATCCGTTTTTTTTTTTTTAAGAACACGAGAGACTGAGTTGAAGTTAGAAGAACACGTGGAATGGAGTCGGCAATGGCATTGATTCAGTGGAGGTTCCTGATACGCTCGCTTTGAGGGCGTGGAAACAAAAATCTAGTTGAAATTGTGGCGTACTCATCAGCGATTGGTTGTTTTCCGTATTCCATATTCATGTAAATTCTTACGTTTTTTCAAACCAAACAGTCCGTGCACGGGTGAAGACGTGTTACTGTGAAAACAATTTGTACCATACTTGATGTTGGAATGGGACTGAAACTTAAAAGATGTCGTAGGGCGAGCATTGCTCTTTTTTGTTCCAGTTTAATGCCCGGTTATAGAGGAGGAAAATGCAAGGTTTCTGAGGAAGAGCGCTTTCGGTTTGTCTTTGACTCGGAGCTTTTGACTCAAAGACCGATGCTCATTTCGTTCACTTCGTTCAAGCAAGCACTGCCGGGTCACTAGTTGTAACTATTACTGTGTTATGCAGCCGAGTGCATTTGGAGTTTTGTAATTGTATTTCTAGAATAACCTTCGTGTTGCTACTAAGAGTATCGTTCGTGCATCCCAAGCCTCGGAAGCTCGCTATGCTCGCCGTTGTATACGCAGTTGTAACTGGAATATTTGTTAAAGCTAAGAACTTGTCGACCGCCTTAAATTGTTTTATCATTTCTCTTCAGATATGACCAACTTTATGAAGAAGACTAGGTTTTCTCATCTCTCTTCAGAGAAGACCAAGTTTATGAAGAAGACTAGGGAACAAGGAATTCAAGAAGACAAATTGGAAACACTGAATCAAGCGAATACTCTGCCAAGATAAGAACTCTATAACGCTTCTTATGGTTGTAGTGAAAATGGTGGGTCAGTCTAAGTGGCAAGATTTTCGTATAACCCCATACTGAATTATGCATGCAATTTTTGGCCAAAGGAAAGCAGAGACAAAACAACAAATTACCTTTGGGACTACGGCTGTTTTTGATTGGTATGGGGTTCTACGGAAATCTTTCCATGGCAGCCACGAATTGAGTGATGTTTTAGGATGGCACTGTAAGACTAACTATATTTTGAAGACATGCTCAGAATGTTACATAAAAGCAAAGATCGTCCTTTTATAATACTAACAGCGGACAAATGATAATTCAAACCGATTGGCGCCTTTCACATCAATGCACAATTTCGCCACACTCAGCATCGAATTATTTTGGTTCTGGAAATGTTTCGTGTTGAAAAAATATTCAAATTTCTAACCGATCAAAACTTTGTCAGTGCCACCTTGAAATATTCACACCTTCTATTAATTAATCGTGCAATGAACAAGAGAACAATGGTAGTAAAAAAGTATTCTTTCGTTAGCGTGAAACGAAAGCTTTTTCCTTCGCTTTTACTGAGATGACGATACCTTGACCGCTGCACACAATGACGAATGTAACGAACAAAACACTGACGTGAAGTTCTCAAGGAAATTTTTAAGATCTAACAATGACTTTTCTAGACCGTAAACAAAATCCGAATACCAGCGTACAGATTTTCTATACACCTCATTCTACCGTCACGTCACAAAAAGATACCACAGTTTGGATATAACGAGACAAGTACAACTGGTTCGCAAGGCATCATGGACCTGAACGAACAAAAAACACGATATTGCGATTTTTATCTGAAATATGACAACAACATCATTCACGTTCGACGCCAGTGATATAATTATACTGAACTTACTGAAACGAACGTTAAATCGACAAGACTGCTGCGACCATACCTTTGATAGAGAACACTTCCAAACCATCTGGCTGATTCCACATCTTTACAAAGTACATGACATAGAATGGTCAATGTTATAGACAACGATAAACCCAGACAGATTGGTTTACTTTAACAAGTGTTCAAATGCTAAGCTTTCCACATCGTGAAACTAGCTGTAACTATAACAAGACTGTCGGAACACAAACAGATGAGGAGAAATGGCGAGATCACTGACGTACAAACCCCACTATTGCATGGCACACTGCCAAATGTTTAGCCTAAATTCTGAGACAATTTCTTAACGGCTGACTTGTAGAGGTGGTTTATTTCCAAGGACAGCCTCTTCTCAACAGATGTCATCAGAATACTAACACGCTACAAGAACAATCATTTTCGACATAGAGATGACAAAGGAAACGAAATGAACAATATCACGGTCGAATATATCGACCGTGCTGTTTCTTGCACTTGACCACATCACGAGAACACTGACCCCTCAGTAAGAATTTTGACAATTTTTCACTGTTATTCACAGTCAACGTTAAAAGTAATGAATAGCTAATCGCGACTTGATTAAAAAAAAACTGTGATCCGTTTAGATGAAAAACCTAACGCCAAAATTCTCTTGTCGTTTTGCAAGTATTGTGTACAAAACTTTAATGTCTGGTTCAAAGAATTCTAAGAAATATTCATTTGCAAATATACAGACCTCAGCATTGACCATGTTTACTGAGACGAAAAACTTACTTTAAAACTCGAAAGCGCCACATTACGACATCAAGCCCTATTTAATTAATTGGTTATAGTTCTAAGAAACACTGAAAGCAGTTATTTCCCATCAGAGATAGTTCTGTCGTATTCAACCGAAAAAGGTCGAAGCTGTGTTCAATTTAATTTGTCTTAAAACAAGTTTCAGGAGAAGGAAATGTTTTTATTACGAATTCAATTCTTGCCTGTAATTTACAGCGAACTCTGTAGAAAGTTAAAGAGTATCTATCTACTTTCATGTCGTTTTTGGAAAAAATGAAGTCGTCAGAATGTTGAAAACGGGAAGTAAATTAATTTTCATCCGTTTTAAACAATTTTTTTGTAATTCGAACAAATCAATCTTGAATCACCCTACGAACATCAACGGTTATCATCGGCTATGAGTTTTTTGTTTCTCAGAAATTTCTTGCACGTACGAGTAATGTGAATAGAACTCTCCTCTTTCGGTCTGTATAGCGTATTAGAGAAGTTCTTTGTAAGAGTGTCGGTAAAATTGCGAGCAAAATGAGTTTACTTGTGAATTATTCCTTGTACCAGCCATTGGGTTTTATCACCGTAGTTGTAATGTAAAAAGACCTTTTTCAGCCAACAATTATTGAAACAAAGGACTGGCAGAAATTTTAAAGTTTGAACGCTGAATTGATGATTTTATCGGTGAAAAACAAGTTTTATCGACTACGATCTTGACAAAATTACTTGAAAATAAACGTGGAGCCAAGAAAAAGTACAGCTATCTTGGTTCATAAGGAGATTAGGAAAATAAAAACACTTGAAGATCATTTTGGTTGCAAATTCCGATTAATTTTCGTTGAATTTGTCCTGAGCAAGTAAGAAAAATGTAATCAGTGGCTGAAAAAGATCTTTTTCTGGGGCAACAT